CACAGACAAGACAGATTTGCGATTTTATATATATAGATACACGACTACATGATACACTACTACACTACACACTACTATACACTACTACACTACTATACACTATACACTACTACACTATACAGTACAATACACGGACTCTAGCTCTTCCTGGGGAATTCCCAGGCGTCCCCAGGCCACCTGAGCGACATCGTCCCACCAGCAGCGTGTCCTGGGCTGGCCCCGGGGTCTTTGCCCAGTGGGACGTGCTGCTCGGTAGAGTTACAGGGGGAGTCGACCGGGGGGCATCCTTACCACGTGCCCCAACCACCTCGAATGGCTCCTCTCGATCCGTAGGAGGAGCAGCGGCTCGACTCTGAGGCTCTCCCGGATTACCGATCACGGAGAGTGAGGCCCGGCAACCCTGCGGAGAAACCTCATTATGGCTCCATGTATCCGCGATCTCATCCATGCGGTCATTACCCAAAGCTCATTACCATCATAGGTGAGGGTGGGAATGTAGATCGACCTGTAAACCGCGAGCTTTGTTGGAGAACTCAGCTCCCACTTCCCTACCACGGAACGGTACAGTGCCCGCAACACTGGACCCCACACAGATCAGCCGGAAGATCTCCCACTCCCACTGACCGTCACTCGCGAAAGAGACCCAGATGTACTTAAACTCCTCCACGAAGGGCAGCTATTCCCCCCTCACCTGGAGAGCACACTCCACCGTCTCCCGGAAGTGAACTATGACCTCACACTTGGAGGTGCTGATCCTCATCCCAGCGGCTTCACACTCGGCATCGAACCGCTCAAGTGCCCGCTGGAGGTCACAGACTGACGAGGCAAAGAGGACAACGTCATCTGCAAAAGGCAGCAATGTCACCTCCATGCCGCCGTACTGGATACTCTCCATACCTCAGCTGCGGCTTCATATTGTCCATGAAAATCACAAACAGGAGTGGAGACGAGACGGAGTCCAACACCCACGGTGAACGACTTTGATTTAGCATAAAAAAATACGGACATAGCTCTCATTCCGGGAATAGAGAGACCAGTTGTTATTTAAAATATATTTGAAATTACGTTTTTGGACAATAATGCAAATATTGCCGTTATTTTACATTGTATTGATTTATGATAGGGCAACATAGTCATCGGACCTTTAATATTGATCCGTTGCATATTAAATGTTAATATCGAATACACGTATAATAATGTAACAATATACTATTGAGAATTTGTAATGCATACATTTTCATTCACTCTCGGAGAGCGAATGATGAAAAGTGCGAAGGAAACCACAGCCAAGCGAGCAGGCAGCCAGAGCCAGTCCCAAGCTCTGTGGTCCTATATTAGCATGTTTGGCCAACTCCCATAATTCGTGTTAGTGCTTATAAATGTAGGAGGAAACGGGAGCTCCCGGAGAACGGGGTAACACCGTGCAGATGGAAATGAATCCACTTTCTGTACTCCCATCATACCCTGCCAAGACATTAATATGGCCACGTCGATGACCTTGGGTTGCGAATTTCACATTTGTGTGACCCATCAACCCTTGCCTCCAGAGTGTTGGATCACAGGTGTGCAAAGCCACCATAACACTATGTCGTACGCTTGTATATTGCACAAAAGTAAAAGCCAATATGAATATAATCCACTGCTGGATGAGGGCACAAGCCAGACCATGTGGTTTAGAAATCTAAAACCACTGTCCAGCCTCAACGACGCCTAAGCTTCCAAAATCTGACAAGATTTGGTAATAGGCATAAACAAACAGCATACAGTCGGGTGTAATTCAAGCGCATGTGCAGACACAAATGATAAATGTGCATACTTTTCCCTGTTGTTTTTTCAGGTGTTTGGATCATGGCAAATGTTTACAGAAACCACGGAATAATCTCAGTTATTCCCCCAGAATAATTCCCACAACCCCCGACTCCGACCATGATTTCGTAATTTGCTGTGCTTCCATTTTCTGATGGAAGCACAGCAGTGGGTCTGTAAATTTGCCGATGCCGTTGTGTTACCATTGTACGTACTGTATACACGTGCATTGCTTAAAATGGCCAAACATCTTAACACAAGACCATCCTGAAAAGTGAGCATTGACACTCGGTGAGACTTTCCTGGATAAAATATGATGACGAATAGATTTAAGAAAGCAAATCATTTACGTACATTTCCCACAACGGGGAGCCAAGTGCTTAAAAAAACAAGTTCCTTCAGTTTTCATTCTAACCGCATATAAATCTAGAAAAATACTGTAAAAGTGTGTTACTATTGGAGAAGCGTTTTTTTTTATTTAAAGAAATCACATTTAGCAAAAATCCAGATGAGTGGCCAGAGAAATTTGTTTTAACATTCCATTCACCTTGTCTGGGGCAGTTCAGCCAAAGAGCCCTTTCTTACTTTTAAAATAACCAAATGCAAGGGCACTGATGTGCCAAGCTCCCACAGAGGCGCCTGTGTGCACCCTTGCAGACGAAAATCAGAGACGTGAGGCGTATGCAACCGCCAAAGGTTGGTCTGAATACCACTCAATCACATCCGCACACGTAAATAATCTTTGGGTTTCACAGCTAATTCGGGCTGCAGACCCGTCCAGGGTTGTTTTCACAGTGTGATGATGGCATTCCATACTAATGCTCTGCTTACTATACCAGGTAAGGTCCAACTGAGTTATGTGGCTCTTTTTCAGAAGCGACCTGGCCACAAATTATGGCACAACGAAGTGGTTTAGCATGTCGAAATTCAGAGCAGCCAAATACTCTCAACGCGCGTTTCTAAATGTGGAGGGAAAAACCGGAGGACCCGGAGAAAAGTTCACACGACCACGGGGAGAGAGACACACAAACTTCAAATATACAGGCGTCAGGGTTGGGATTGAACCCATAACCTCCTGCATACCAGGCGGGTTAGTTAACATCTCGCCAATGTGTGTCATTTTCACTGGGAGGTCTAGATTTGGGGCCGTCCATAAATGACGTCACGCAACTAGAGGGGGGGGGGTCACACATTTGTTACGATGGGGGGCGAGAGGGGGTTGAGAAATGTGACGTCACGTAAAAATGTGCAACTTTAAATAAATATAGACAACACGTTCTACTTAACTAAATAGACTTTTAAATGTTTTCTCCTACAACATCAGAGTGCATCGCCACATTAAATACGCACTACAATGACAATAGTTTAAAGCGATTTGAAGCATGTTTAAATTTTTTTGGGGGGGGCAGAGCTTTGTCACGTCATATTTGAGGGCGGGTCTGATTTTTTGTGACGCCGTTTGACGAAGGGGGGGGGGGTCAAAAACGTCCAAAATCGCGTGACGTCATTCATAGACGGCCCCTTTCCAATGCAGTACAGCCCAACGTCGCATATCCATCCTGACCAATTAACCGCCCACACTCGGAGCAGTGCTTGTACTTGGTGTCAGTCATTTGAGAGATGTTCACAAAAACTACCCTTTCACATAACTATCTATATTCCAGTCCCAAGCGTCGGATATACGACGTACCCGTACATTCATATCCCGTACAGCCCATCTGTTAAGTCGTTTACCATCAATGGAATCTTGGCTTAGGTTAAAAATGTTGGTGCAATATTTGGACCAGTGGCCTGCGTCAATCAGCCACACATTTTAAATTAGTGCCTCGACTCTGAAATGGACGTTGAAAAGTAAATTCATACATTTTGGTCAATCCTGAACCAATGAAGGACATTTCCCAATGTTACAGCGGCAACCAGTTAAGTCAGGATAACCACGTTGAACTTCCAAAGTGGTTGGCAAAGTCTTATCGAACCAGGACCCATGCCCATAATAACATGTCAATTGACAAATATTGGTACAAGCGAGCCTGACTGACTGCTGATGAGACACTGAAATGTCAAAACCGGTCCAGAGTTTGCGTATTAATGCAGCTGAAATAATCTGCTCTTAGAAGGCCGTGTGGCTGATGGACTGTGTAAATAAAAAAATAACTTTATATATTTTGTATGCGGGGACACTGATAGATATGAAGGCGACATTGCTGATCGATTTTCTTTCTGAGTGATGTCACCATCACCCCGCCCTCGACGAGTGGGACACGCCAAGCACTCCTCGAGGGGCTGGGGGTGCCCAGAGCAGCATAACCAATTATAAAATCAATAAAAACTCCACGCACAGCTCACATTTAACCCAGCTTTGCCAACGAGCCATTATACTTACCTTATAAATAATACTCCACTGCCAAATTGCATCGCAACTTTATTTAAACAAACACGCCGATTAATTATTGTCCATCTCACTTCCCGCACCCCTCCCGCCCTGTGTCCAGGTGGTACAGTCCGGCTCGATCGGGCGCCACGTGGTGGTGGTGGGTGATGGCGCTCCCTGCGCCGTGTTGTTTTTGCCTTTCGGTTGTTTTAAAGTGACGCTTCATTCAAAGATAACAATCTCCCGCGTTCACGAAACCGCCATCAGACGCACTGTTGCTGAGATGACAATGCAGTGACTCGTAGGGGAGGGGGTGAGGGGTGTTCGGCGCGCAGTGCTGCAAAGCCTCTCGCCAAAGCGGCAGGGATTTAACTCGCGAGCTGCGGCGTCAATGTCCGTCGCTTTTACCCCCCAACACGCCGCTGCTGCTGCTGCGTCTGCTGCGTGCTGCTGCGTGCTGCTGCTGCTGTTGCGTGCTGCTGTTGCACACTGGCTGCTGCGTGCTGGTGCTGCTGCGTGCTGGTGCTGCTGCGTGCTGGTGCTGCTGCAGCTGCTGCTGCTGCAGCTGCTGCTGCGTGCTGGTGCTGTACTCGTCTACGAACTGGCACGTTCCCTTTACGCGACAGACCTCACCAATTGGCTGTCGGGGGGTGGCGGGTTTAACGACACATTTTTACGCGATCTAAGGGGCCGTCCATAAATGACGTCACGCACCGGGGGGGTGGGGGTGAGACATGTGTGACGACGTGTGACGAGGGGGGGGTGAGACATTTGTGACGACGTGTGACGAGGGGGGGGGGTTAGCGGGGTGTGGAGGCGATTGAACTTTACAAAGTCGGTAATCGACCACAGCACGAGTGGTGGATTGTTTTATAAATACAAATCGATTATTCTGGAGATCACTCATCATGATTTAAAACATATTTTTTTGCACATTCTTACATCACATGTCTTAAGGTGTTATATATTTTTGTTAGTGTTTTACAGTTTTTTACTTGATCACATTTGTGTAAATAAGCATACACAAAAATATCCTTTAAAAAGTTACTGCATTTACTGCACCGTACTTACCACTCCATTCTCGACGACTCCGCGAGGGGTGATGTATGAACGTGTAGTATTTGTATTGTCTCATGTAGTGTAATATGTACCGTGTGGAATATTGTGTAATATGTACCGTGTGGAATATTTGACATTGAAATCAAGCATCACCACTTTGTTTTGTGACGCCTTTGCAGCGGTCTTGCCGGTTTCGCCGGATCGGTCCGGGTACCGTCGAAAGCAGCAGCCGGATAATCGATGATCGACTACAAATCGAATAATCGCCCCATCTCGAACTGTAACTTTCCATGGTACAGTTTATGTTTTAGCTGCACTCTGCATAACATCCCGCTAGAGGGAGCCCTGCAGCTCGGTCAAAGCGTGACAATGAAACGCAGGAGCATAAATCACAAAAGAATACTGTGCAGTATTTACCAGCGAAGATATCAACATATACGAATACAATTAAAAGGTTGATTTTCATGTCAATGACCCTAATTAAAGGCAGAGCGAGGATTTCGGAGCGTTATTTGGAATGAACGATTGCGCTTTAAAGTTCACGTGATTTGGCGATGCTGCATCGGTGCACAAGCAATAACAACAAAAACACTCAACATTCGCCAATGAGCTCACAGCCGCGCACTTTTGTCACTGTGCACGTTCAATCAAAGCGGTGTCACCCCGTGTAATGTGTCTCACGTGGGTGCACAGGGGTCGTGGAGATGTCTCGTGGGGCATGCACGGACGTGGCCCAGGGACTGGAAAGTCTTCCCATTGAATTGACAAACGACGTGGATGGTGAGATGCCACCTTGCATACAGGTACCTGCTCGATGAACCACAACTTGCATGCCTTGTGTCCGGGTTTCTCAAATGCCAGCCCTGGCGTTCCCCACCACGGTACACCTTTCCAGGTTTACCAACCCCGTTCTCTGGTCTAACACTGGTGGTGAGACAAGGCCATCAAGAAGGCTGTCTCTGTCGTAGCCCAATCGGTTTCAAAGACAATGCATATATTATCAGAGCATGTTTGTTTGCATATTTTGACACAAGCACGTGTGGTTAATGCAGACTTTATCCTGTGCAAAAGGTACCTATTTAGTGTTTGAACATCTTAACACCTATTTCATTGCCAGAACGGGTAAAACCTATTGTTATGTTTTCATCATTCTTGACACCTTTCCAGGTTTACCAACCCCGTTCTCTGGTCTAACACTGGTGGTGAGACAAGGCCATCAAGAAGGCTGTCTCTGTCGTAAGCTCCCCCCCCCCTCTCCTCCCCCCTTAACTTGTATTTAAGAGCTTGCATCTTGAATCCCTGCCTCACTTGATGCAGCAAATCTGGCTGTGACGGTCCCACCTGATGATGGAGACTTGTGTTGCCTCCAAAACGTCGTGATTTTTATTTTATTTTTATTCATTTTAATTTCATTTTTTACCTACGTGACTTTACCGAAAGAACTAAGAGTATGAATCTATAATTCTTGATACTGCCAAAAAGGTCCCCATAGATATTTACCAACCCCATGAACATGCCAACGCTGGCCCAACGCTGGCCCAACGCTGGCATGTAGTTGGAATCGTTGACCCAACGTTTCACGATTACTGAGAATGTATCTAACTAACAAGACGCACGTACCTAATGATTGTGAAACACATTCCACGTGATTGTGGAGAGCACCGATCCAGAGATGTGTGTGTACGTGCGTTAAGTACGTGGCTGGAGTGGTGGTTAGCACGCTGTGAAACAAACACAACGTATCTGAGTTTGGTTTCTGACCGTGGCCAACATCGCTGACAAACATCTGAACCAGTTCTGGGCCTCTCCGAGGTCAAGTGAACCTTGAATGGATCACCTGGTAAGGCGTTTAAACATAAGTACTGGGGAGACAAAGGCAGCCGGGCATGATCCTGGCAACACCATCCCCTAGTATGTATGTAGAACTTCATTCGCACCGTACGTAGCCAACCGTGCTAATCGGCGGTGCACCATGGTTGCTTTAATAGGTGCTCCCTAACACAACTTTCCTCAACAGTGGGAACTTTATTTAGTTTTGGGGTTTTTGTCATTTGTAATGAGCAGAAAACTCAACTTGAGTATTGAACACGTGTGCCTCCCAGGAGAGCCTGAAGTACGCTGTTTAAGGAAGCACTCTCCACACCACATGAATGCAACGGTTTAGCAATCATGAGGCATGTGCAGCATGTAACACTTAATGTTGTATTTGAACGGAGAAGATTGGTAAACATGGAACGATGGTCTAACGTTGCTCCAACGTTAGCCCAACGGAGCATGTTTACTGGGGTGGTGGGTCACAAGGACGAGTTGGAAAAATCCCAAGCTAGGTGATTGCTGGATTTGGTTGCATAGGAACAGAAGACGTGTAGTGTTTCGCTGATTATACTGTAAATCGAGTTTGTGTATAATCATTTGCGATGGTTGAAATGACATACAATACAATTTCATAACATTTCGGATTTTTATAGCATCTTATTGCAGCTGCATATGAAGATATGTACCGAAAATAGGACATGTGCATCACACGATACCACCAAAAACTTGTAGCAGCAAGGATCCCATTCATCATCGTCAGCCAAGATCAATCCACTGCTGGCTGAAGGCCTCCCCAAGCCACTGCCATCTCTCTCACGATCCTGCCACGTAACAGTCCATCTAACTGCCTGCCCATGAACCTATTGCTATCGCTCATGAACCCATTACATACAAGGTATACAAATCAATACAAATTCTTACCTGCACGGTTTTAAGGTACCCCAAAAAATAAGAACTACTTTGTAATGGTTGAAACGCAATACTTTAGCATGATGATAAATCCCATAGTCTAATTTGTTAATTTAATCCATAGAACCACGATATGCATTACTACCAGTTATATGCTAACATTTTAAATAAATATAGCTTTACAATTCGTATATATGACATTTCAAGACCAGAACTGAAATAACGAAGGTAAGTAACTGTTGATGGAGCTTTTGTCATCGGTGATGTTAAAACAATCAAGGGCAGGGATTGAATCGACAAAGCGGAGTCCCCCAAGAACGAGAACAGCCCCGGGCTCCCATCGCGCTTCATTCGTCCGCGTTGACGTCGTCCCTTCATCCTCTGCTCCCTTCCGTTCTCCCCCTCTCCGCAACGATCGCACGAGGGCAGTACACGCCGGACTACGTGCGGGGCCCCGGCTGTGCCGTGGACCCGGGCGAGCTCACGCTGCCGGGGTGCGAGTGCGCCGACGGGCGCTGCGACGCGTCGCCCGTCGCGTGCCCGTGCTTCCGGGGCGGTGGCGACGGCGCGGCGTGCTACGACCCCGCCGGGCGTCTCGTCGGCGATGCCGGATTCGCGCGCCCCATCTTCGAGTGCAACCCCCTGTGCCGCTGCGGAGACGCGTGCCCCAGCAGGGTGGTGCAGAAGGGACTGGCGGTACGGGTGAGTTGGCGTCGGGGGGGGGGATACTACCAGGGCCGTAACTTTTATCAACGGTTGAAATGATGCAGCACGCGGGTCTTCGCAACGGCTTGCAATGCAAGCTTGGTCTTCCGGGCGAGACTGCGCGTTAAACGTTCCTTCTCTCGAGCTGTGACCATGCACTGCTGTGAGCGACATCATGATCCTTCAAGACTTGAAGTTCCCACAAAGTAATGCTGACTTTGTTTTCTGCGTCCTGACTACGCAGAGACGTCACGAGCCAAGCAGCGGATGTTCGCTACTGGAATTATGGATTTTACGTTCCCGAATTAACTAACACGTTTCAGTAGTTTCAGTGGTGCTTTTTTTTACCTTTTCATATTTTTGTTGTTTTAAACGCATTAATGGATACACCACAGTCGATCGGCAGGTCGCGTGTGTGGTGGAGTGAAGTGATCGTAGTCCCACCTAGTTCTAGGGAAGGGGAAAAATAACCTCTGGAGGGGCTTTCGAGAGGCTTCCTCTTCTGGAGGCCCTTCCACCGGCCGCGGTGTGAGCAGAGCCGTTACGGGGCTGCACCTTTACCACCTTCGAGACCAAACTCTGAAATGCCCACGTGCACATATCTATGGCACACTTCATTGTATGATTAAAAAGGATTCACCCTTTCTGACAAATACAGCTGTAAAGATGTTTACACACCAAATAGACCAAGGCATCAAGCTTGCATTAACGAAATATGCTTGTTATGCTTTGGTAGTGTATGCACTGTCCTTGAAACTGATCGGCCTACACCACAGACAGCCTCTTGTTTGTATGTTTTACCATAAATGTGTGTGGTTAATGCCGACTTGATGCATTGTAATAGGTGTCTATTTGGTGTTTGAACATCTTAACACCTCCCGTGTTTATGCCAGAACTGCTTTTTGTGTTTAGTTTGTTGTCCTTCCTCCGCACCTCCGATTAGCACAGGTTGGCTACGATCGGCGCGAAAGAAGTTCAACGTTACACAGGGAGAGTGCTCGGGCCTTACTTGCCGCCTACGTGCACGCTTGTCGCGCCCAGCTGCAGGTGTTCCGCACGGCGCGGAAGGGCTGGGCGGTGCGGACGCTGGAGCCGCTGGGTCGCGGGCGCTTCGTGTGCGAGTACGTGGGCGAGGTGCTGGGCGCTGCCGAGGCCCGGCGCCGGGCCGTCCGGCAGGCGTGGGGCAGTGACGGCAGGGCCATCAACTACCTGATCGCGGTGCGGGAGCACGCCGGGGACGGCCGGGGGGTCGCCCCGGCCACGAGCACCTACGTGGACCCGGAGCGCGTCGGGAACGTGGGTCGCTTCCTCAACCACTCGTGCGAGCCCAACCTCGTCATGGCGCTCGTCCGCGTCCACTCCGTGTTGCCAAGGTCGCCGTTAAATGACCTCCCCCCCCCCAATCCCTTGCGGTGAAACCGCCAAAGTCAGCGGCTTGGCTTCTTGTGCCTTTTCTCTTGTGCTTAGCAACTATACAACAATGTGTGTATGTGTAAAAATGAACACGTATCAGAGGACGACTCCAAAACGTTACGTAATTTTCACGTCATGTGCCCACAACAGAGTCCCTCTGTCTTGCATCAATGAGCGCACTCATGCAGCTTGACCGCTACCGCACTGTGAACAACGTACGACTGTCGAGCTGACATTCGTCCGACCTTTACCCCCCCCCCCCCGCACGGTGCCCTGCAGGCTGGCTCTGTTCGCCGCACGCGACATCGCCGACGGCGAGGAGCTCTGCTACGACTACTCGGGAGAATTTCAAAACTCGCGCGCGGCTGCGGAAGCGTGCGGACCCTCGTGGCGGCCAGAAGGCGACGGCGGCGCTCGCTCCGGCGACCGAGAAACCGGCGCGGATGCCGGCGACGACGGGGATGGCGCCCCATGGGAGGACCGGGGAGGTCGTGAGGACGGTGACGGCCTCGCGGGCCAGCGGAAGCCGTGCTTCTGTGGCGCGCCCTCCTGCCGAGGCGTCCTCCCGTTCGACCCCACGCTCTTCGCAGACACGCAGTGACAAAGAAAGGCTGCGACGGAGACTTTAGCGGTTGTGCCGCACTGGCCTCGGGTGCGTTCTCAGGTCTTACCGCGCATCGTTCGGCGGTACGATGTCCGACGTTTCTCTCCACGTGCCAAGAGCTTTTTCCGCAACGGAATTAACTCCCCGAGCACGGGGAGTGAAACGTCGGACGTCATGCCGAACAACGTCATGCAGGTTATTGGGGGCTACATAACTGTACTTTACGGTCATATAGCTCCCAATAACCTTTACCTTGCTGGTCAGTGCGGGTTCATGTAGGTGCAGAACAAAGGATAGAGTGCAGTGGGTTTTACCGCACTCCCCTCTGCTGCCCACAACAGCACCACAAATCGACCAACACCATCACGCAGCAAAACATAACTCAATGCAACACCTCGTGGCAGGGTTTCCCCACACTCGCTTTCCTCACCGATACACGGTGCAATTTCCCTCAATCTATATTCAATGCCAGCTTTGTCGTAACATACTGCAAGGTTGGATAGTACGGTGCGAAAGAAGTTCAACACACATACGTGTAAGGTGAAGGTGCGGCCTTGTACCTGCCCGTGCAAGCAAAGGCTCTTTTGGTCTCCTCTTCCACCCTCGCCAGATGTCTCAGGGTGGGAGTACCCACACTTTACCCCACCGCATGCGACTTGCCAATCGACTCCAAAGTTCGGTGTCCCCATTTACATCGCTGGGTGGACAGCGGTGAGCGGATTTATGCAACTCGCACCGTTGTCTTGACTGTCGTGTTGGGAGACCGCACCAGGGGGCCTCTGGGTTGCAAGTCCAGTGTGCTGACCGTTACACCGCGTCAGCATCCGTCACAAGTGTGTGGCGATTGGTAAACACGTACCCCCCTACTTGGACTTGAGTTTGAGAAGCTGTTTTTTGTGAAGGTGGCCTGAGTTGGAAATCGTTGTGTCCCCAACGCCACGGGAACTTCCATTCTTGTAGGCAACAGTAAACTATGAGCGCATTTGCACTTTTTTGTGAGCTTGGAGCGCGTTTACGATAGAACTATGCGAGCTAGTAAATTGTTGTTTTAACCGTATGTAATTGTTGTCTTATGCGCTTAATTGTGTTATTTGAATAAAATTCGATCATTGATCCGGCGGCTTTGGGGGCGCCGGATTTTTTAAAACAGGATAATCACTAATCATGATTTAAAATATCTTATTTTTTTTACATTCTTGTACTACATGTTTTTAGGTGGCGTGTATGTTTTTTTAGTGTTTTACATTTGTTTACTATGTGAAACTAGGTTGTTGGGGGCCACCTGTGGCGCCCCCAACCACCTAGTTTCTTCTATATAAATATTTTGGCAAGTTTACGCGTTAGTGACAGAATGACAGACAGAATGACACACAGAACTGTGTGTTATATAATTTAACTTTCATAGTGGAAAAAGTCAGCACTGTACATGAGTACTGTACTTTTTTAGTGTTCAAATGCACTGCTGGATGAAGGACCACCGCAGGCTGCGCGCTTGTCGTGGTTGGAGGCGTGACGTCATTACACATGAACGCGGCTGAGGTGTTGTGAAAGAGAGCTGACGTCACCGCCCATACGTGCGTGATGACGCGCGGGTTGTGGACGTCATCCCACCCGTGCCTGTTCGGGGGCGTACATGTTTGTGAGGGGCGCACCTCTGGTTGGCTGCTTGGTCCCGGTCACGTGACTCACTTCAACCAATCCGTGCCGCGTTAATCACAGAATGACAGAATCATAGAGCTGGGTGTTTACATATTAGGATTGGCAAACATAAACATACAAATAGACATAAATCAACATACTGTAAAAAGGTACTGTATTAACTGTACCATTCCAATCTCATCATGGGGTGATGTACGTACAGTACTACGACGCTCTTGTTTCAACAACATGTGTTTGACGATCGCCGGTTTGCCAGTTTCGCCGGATCGGCCCGGGACCACCGGATAATGTTGGAAGCGGGATAATTGCACGCCGGATAATCGATGATCAACTGTCGTCCACTTGCCATTGGCCTTTGTGACCGAAGATGATGATGCTGATGTGGTTGCTGGTATCGTGACTTGCGTGCGACTGGCTGGAGAAGGCCGATGTGCGTCAGTTCTCTTCCCACAGTGGGCGCACTTTGCAGTTAAAAGTTTGAAGGTGGTGGTTGTCTGTTCAGACTCCAGTAGGTGTTGTTTTTTATCCACTGGCCAATGCAAATGTTGGATGACGGTCACCACTTGCCTTGATGTCGTCGGGGTGTGTTGACGATACTTCACCACATTGGCCAGTTCGGGTTGAACGTTGGGATTTTTGTTGATGCCCTGGAGCGGTTCAGATCCCACCTCACGCTGCTGTGATCACCCATAGCCAGGAATCGCATTCAGGTCACCAAGTTCATAGTGCAGTGCGCTAACCATTGTACCACCCTGTAACATGTTGAGTGCACATTAAATGAAACTGTTCACGTGCGATAACTGCAGCACAACATGACTCCACAGCACCCTGCGTGGTGATGGAGTGAAAACTCTGCACACTGAAAATCGAACCCACGATCGAACCCAGGTTCTCAGCCGTTCCAGTACAGCCCTCTGACCTCTGAGCCACCCGGTCACCTCTTGCTCAAATGATAAAAAAAAAACATTGAACCACAACGTTGCACTGAAATAAAGGAATATCCGAATGCATATACCACCTGCATTTGAAAGTTCGCAAAGAGGGGTCGTGGTATAATGCAGTGCATGGTCATTATTTGCAAAATTACGTAGCAATGTGCTCTGCCCTGCATCTGTAATTGTGTTTGTGATAATGCGTGTTGTTTGTGGTCGTGACACTTTGGGTTAATGAACCGTGATGAAGAACTAATGACGTGTGACCTCGAAACTCTCGGTTTGTGTGTTGCAGTGTAAACAAGGTGGGGCATGTACTTTCCTCGATGTAATCTGAACGTAACAATTCAAAATACACAAACGTTTGGTGTGTAATTTACATTGTGTGCCTCTCCCTCCGTTTAAGGAGCGCAGATTATAGTGGTTTGCTGTATGGTCCATAGTTTGGGTTGCATGGCCAGTCACACACGACTGTGGCTTGTCTGCAATGTATATCTATGTGTCAGAGGTCGCAACCGGGTACCCGATACCCTGCCGGGTACGGGTACGGGTAGGCCGTGAGTCACTGGTGAGTAACCGTTTGTCACTCATTTCCCAACGTCTTGTGTCTCTTCTCACAATATAAGTTCCTAGAATCAACCCACCCGCGCCTGCAACATGGCTTCATCCCAGAGGTCGCAATCAGGTACCCGATACCCGTACCCTACCCGGCCGGGTATGGGTAGGGTACGGCCGGGTACAGGTACCCGTTTGCGACCCTGGTGGTAAGGAATCAAAACCCGTTTGCGACCTCTGCTGTGTCTCTAGGGGTTCATGATATGGTCCATAGTTTGGGTTGCATGGCCACAGTCGCACACAACTGTGGCTTGTGTCTTTATTAATCTCCCACGACTGAGGTCGTGGTGCACATTGTCCTGCTGATGTTCCGGTGCCGTTGATGGTTCCGCCGGAGACCTTCGAGGAGGAATCTCGAAGCCCTCCAGGAGGTGCGATGATGATGACGACGTTTGGCTCTCGAACGAGAGGGTAAATATATTGTGGACGTCCGCGTTGTTCCACTGTTGTCACAGCAGCAAGCGTTGTTCCGGATCTGGGTGGTGAGATTCTAGGATGGTGACAGCAGCAGCAGCAGCGAGATCCCAGAAGGGGTGGGATCAGGCCTTGAGTAGGCGGTCAACGTCATTGATGTGTATGTGAGAATCAGAATATTTATAATGGAGGAATCCGATAAGTGATGAAGCTCTTTTTTGTGACATGTCCAGTCGTGGTTTGTCGTCGTCTTTGCGGATTTCTGGTTGCTGAATGTTCGCCAGAGCAGGGTGCCGGTGTGGTGGGAGGGAGATCGGTGTCGGCTTCGGCTACGAAGCGCCCGTGTCATTGTTTCATCGTGCATCATCGTGCATCATCATTGTGTGTGGTGTGTACGATCTCCCCGGGGGAGCGGTGGTGCAGCGGTTAGCGCGCCACCCGACGAACCCCGGCGACCTGAGTTTGATTATTCCCGCTCACGGCCAACACCGGCGACGATTATCTGAACCGGTCATTGGCCTCCCCCTAGGTCGACTCGGCCTTAAACGAGTGCCTGCCGCGGTGTGCAAACATCGCCACTGGGGAGAGACAAAGGCGGCCGGGCGTGGCGTTGGCCATCCACCCCCTCGCGTGCCGTGCCGCAATTCGTAGGTGCACAACCACAACACGGGTTTTTTTGGGTGAGATCGCGTAAATGTGTCGTTAGACCCGCCACCACCCGACACAGCCAACTAGAAAGGGTTGTCACGTAAACAGAACGTGGCCAATTCGTCACTAGTACAGCACTAGTGTGTAGTGTATAGTGTAGTGTATAGTGTAGAGTAGTGTATAGTGGAGTGTATAGTGTAGAGTAGTGTATAGTGGAGTGTATAGTGTAGAGTAGTGTATAGTGGAGTGTATAGTAGTGTAGTGTATAGTGTAGTGTACTAGTACATCACTAGTGTGTAGTGTAGAGTAGTGTATAGTGTAGTGTACTAGTACAGCACTGGTGTGTAGTGTAGAGTAGTGTAGTGTGTAGTGTACTAGTACAGCACTAGTGTGTAGTGTAGAGTAGTGTATAGTGTAGAGTTGTGTATAGTGTAGTGTACTAGTACAGCACTAGTGTGTAGTGTAGAGTAGTGTAGTGTATAGAGTAGTGTATATAGTGTAGTATATAGTGTACTATACTAGTACAGCACCCACCGGTGTGTTGGAGAGCCAAGCCACAACATGTACAATCTGAGCACGACGTTTCGCAGTAATCACAACAGGCTTCATCAGGCGACAGCCACATTTATATCGCGTGGCAGTAGATCTAACCCCCCCCCCCGACAAAAAACCCCTGTATCATGGATTCATGGATGATATAATTATTCATAATAAAGGTTGTTTGGCTAGATCGCGAAATCCTACGACGACTACTACTTGGACGTGTTAAACAACAACAACAACAGTCTGTGCTGCCCTGGGAACCACGTGGCACTCCGCCTGTCACTCGTCAACGTGCGCCTGACGTCGGCTGGAGCGAGAACTCACCCCGGGGGGAGGGGTCAGCTGCTGCTGATGGCGACTGTGACGGCACCACCCCCTCCCCTCCACCACCATCACCATCACCCCTCCACCACCCCACCCCTCCCCTCCACCACCATCATCACCACCATCACCCCACCCCTCCATCACCCCTCCACCACCATCCCCACCATCACCCCTCCCCTCCACGACCACCATCCCCACCATCACCCCACCCCTCCACCATCACCATCTCCACCATCACCCCACCCCTCCACCACCATCACCCCTCCCCTCCACCATCACCCCTCCCCTCAACCATCACCATCACCTCTCCACCACCACCATCCCCACCATCACCCCACCCCTCCACCACCATCACCCCTCCCATCCACCATCACCCCTCCCCTCCACCACCATCATCACCCCACCCCTCCATCACCCCTCCACCACCACCACCCCTCCACCATCACCCCTTCACCACCATCACCCCACCCCTCCCCTCCATCACCACCATCACCCCACCCCTCCACCACCCCACCCCTCCACCACCATCACCCCACACCTCCCCTCTACCATCACCCCTTCACCACCATCACCCCTCCACCACCATCATCACCACCCCACCCCTCCCCTCCACCACCATCATCACCACCCCACCCTCCCCTCTACCACCATCGTCACCACCCCTCCCCACCCCACCCAGCGTGTCGCTGTTCTCCTTGGCCCACCACCACCGCCTCTCTCCGCCGCAGGCGAGGAGGAGGGGACTCCGCGTGCTTTGCTGCTGCTGCCGCCGCCGCGTGCGCAGTTGCCGCGCGAGACGGGGGTGGTGTGGCGAGGGCCCCGAGCGCGAAACGTCGCAAATGCCGTCGAGCGTGCAGTTCCCGCCGCTGCGAAGCGCGGACGACTTAGTGACGGGCTCCGCTCGCTTCGCGCTGGCCCGAGGCGGGCAACTGGCCCAAGTGGAGGTCTCGCGTGGTGCGGAACCCTGCAGTACTACCAGAGCAACTACTTCCTGCTGGTGGTCGCCGTCTTCCTCGTCGTGGGGTGAGACGCGCCTGGCCGAGTGGGAGCGATGTCTGCGCCAACAAGGATGGTGGAGCGAGCGAGTGAGTGAATGGGTGAGCGAGTGAATGAATGGGTGAGTGAATGAATGGGTGAGTGAGCGAGTGAATGGGTGAGCGAGTGAATGGGTGAGCAAGTGAATGGGTGAGTGGGTGAGCGAGTGAGTGAATGTATGAGTGAGCGAGCGAGTGAATGGGTGAGTGAGTGGGTGAGTGAGTGGGTGAGTGAGCGAGTGAATGGGTGAGTGGGTGAGCGAGTGAGTGAATGTGAGTGAGCGAGTGAGCGAGTGACTGGGTGAGTGAATGGGTGAGTGAGTGAATGGGTGAGTGAGTGGGTGAGTGAGCGAGCGAGTGAATGGGTGAAGGGTGAAGGGTGGAGGGAGGGATGGAGGATCACACAAGACTGTAACGCGCGAGACGTTGACGTTGCCCGCCGGGGATGTGACGCGAGCGTCGTTCACCCTGGTCGAGTCGACCCTGGTCGAGTCGACCCTTGTCGAGTCGACCCTGGTCGAGTCGACCCTGGTCGAGTCGACCCTGGTCGAGTCGACCCTGGTCGAGTCGACCCTGGTCGAGTCGACCCTGGTCGAGGCGACCCTGGTCGAGAGTCCTCTCCCTCTCGCTCATGGAGGCGCTTCTGCCGGCAGCGGCGTGAGCGAGCTGTTGCGGGGCTGCGCCTTCACCGCTCGGCAGATGCCCCGCGGGGGGCGGGGGGGGGAACGTCGCTGCCTCCTGCAGCCATCTGGGGGGGGGGGGGTCACCCCGCGTGCCGTGACAGCAATCAGCGTCAATGCGCTGCTGGATGAAGGCGTCCACGCTCCACACCACCACGTGTCCGTCACTCTCACGCTTGTTTAGTGTGGGTTTGGCGGAGAGCATAGGAGTAGAGTACAACCATTGTAATGCCTGCCCACAGTGTGACCCCGAGATGGCTTGTACCCAAACACACAACGCCTGTTGTGTCAGAAGAAAGTCAAGAACGGCATTCCGCTCACGATGCACAAGCCCGTATTTACATCGCTGAGGCGGTGGAGTGGAATAATTCCACGTTGATATGGCGGTGGTGAGTTTATCCATCGGACATCCGCTGTTGACCCCCCCCCCCCCGCCCCTTTCATTCCATTAAAAAAGAGTTGCTCGTGTTATTGCTGTACGCAAGAATGATCCAGGCTCCAAATCTGCCGATCTGCCGATCTCTGATGAGACTTGGGCACATTGCTGGCGCTTAGTCAACGCTCTTGGGTTGCATTACTGTACGGCTACGTCCTCTTTGTAAGCGGAGCTAGGACATTGCAAACACAGTGCGGTACGTGATGAACCACGGCGCATCTCATCCGCCTGGCAAGCTAGCGACGAGGCCTTGCGACGTGTCCCCAAGACGGTACCGCCGCAATTGCTTTCGATTGCCCGCAAATGAATTTACAGGGAAACAATTGAAAGGACATCGGCGCAAATGAACGCATCCGGGATGTGTTTCTGTTCAAGTGTAATGCCACGGTCAGTTAAATAAACGCACGTCCCATCCTTGGATTAACCTACATTCTGCAGCATCGCTCTGCAATGTTTAAATACAAATAAGTCGTACATTGTTGTTGCAGTTGATGTTACAGTAGTAACAGCTCTTGTCCGAGCCATTCTTATCCATTATTCATATTATCCACTCGCCCAAAGCAATCCGGTGACTTCCTGTTATCAGTGTGCTGCTATTGTCCGAGGATCGATAAGTAAAGTGAACCACACGTGTAAGGATAAGATGAAGCAATGCCGAAGAAGTGGCAACTCTCTTAAATACCTAATCTGTCCATAAATGACGTCACGCACCTAGGAGGGGGGGTCAGACATTTGTGACGATGTGTGACGAGGGGGGGGGGGGTTGAGAAATGTGACGTCACATCAAAATGCGCAACTTTAAATAAATATAGACAACACGTTCTACTTAATTAAATAGACTTTTTAATAAATGTTTTCTCCTACAACATCAGAGTGCAGCGCCACATTAAATACGCACTACAATGACAAGAGTTTAAAGCGATTTGAAGGATGGTTTTTTGGGGGGGGGGCAGAGCTTTGTGACGTCATATTTGAGGGGGGGGTCTAACTTTTTGTGACGCCGTGTGACGACGGAGGGGGGGGTGAAAAATTGTCCAAAATCGCATGACGTCATTTATGGACGGCCCCTAACCACTTGGTAGACGCTATCCAATACAGCCCCCACTCCCCCCCCCTTCGTTTGCCCATTTTCTGGGACCCACATAAAGGCCTTCATCCAGCAGTGGATTGACAGTTTGGCTGTACGTGTCTATAAAGGCCAAGCTGGGACCGTCTCTGAGGCCACGTGTGCTGGCCTCAGAGAAGGTCACGTGGCCTTGGCCAGGTCAGGCAGCGTTCTCGGATTAGCGACTCGTGGCCGATTTACCAGTTGCGGCCACGTTCATCGCAAGCAAAGACGGTCACCGCATCGCGCGGCGCTTCCAGATGCGCTTATGTGGCCGTCTGGAACGCTCCTACCTTCTGATATTAGGAAGCCACTGGAGTTATGCACTTTAAAATCATCATCTAGATTGAAAACTCACTTCTTTCGAGTTGTTGTTTTTCTGTTTAGTTGTTGTCCGTCCCCCCCCCCGCCTCCTCCGATTATCGCTGTTGGCTACGCACGGTGCAAAAGAAGTTC